GGGCTTTGTGGACCATACAGTCTCTGTTACAACTATGCTGGTGTAACACACAAGCAACCATAGCCAAAATATCAATGAATAAGCATGTTAGTGTTTTATCAAAACTTTATCAACACTGGAATTTGAGTTTCATATTACTTTTCCACATCACAAAAATAGTATCTTTCTTTTGATTTTTTTCCCCCCAGCCATTTAAGCTCTTTAAAAAACAGTTCTTAGTTTGTGGGCCAAATAAAAAATGGTGAATTGGCTATAATTGGCCCATGAGCTGTAGTTTGCTGTCTCCTGAATTAGAGAATTCCACCATGTCTTTGATTATCCTTAGGTACCGTCACAATTTTATTTCAAAGATGCTTCCATGAATGAAACTCTTCTTGCTCATCTTATAGAGAAATAGAATGGACAATAACCAAAGCTAAGCCAGTTGGCATCCAGTTGACGCTGACTGATGGCAGTCCCATGTATGCCTAAGAAAGCCATGCTCGAAGGTTTCAATGGCTGATTTTTTGGAAATGGATTGTAAGGACTTTCTTCTGAGGTACCCCTGGGTAGACATGAACCTCCGATCTTTCAGTTAGCAGCCAAGCATGTTAACTGTTTAAACAGAAACTCCATGTACCCTGTAGTCTATTGCATATTTAAAATACAGTATAAAGATGAAGCTAAATTCACTGCACATAAAATCCTGTATGACCTCTCCAAATCTCACTGAAATAACTGAGATTAAGATTTGGAGACACCCTTCCTACAAGACAAACTTCAAATAGGACGTGGTGTTGGAGGAGAATATTGAAAGTGTCATGGGCTGCCAAAAGAGAAAACAGATCCGTGTTGGAAGAAGTGCAGCCAGAGTGCTCCTTGGAGGCCAGGATGGCCAAACTTCATCTCTCATACTTCAGACATATTGTCAGGAGGGACTAGTCGCTAGAGAAGGATATCATGTTTGGTAAGGTGGAGGGTCAGAGAATAAAAGAGAATGACCCCCAGTGAGATGGATTGGCAAAGTGGAAGCATCAGTGGGCTCAAATGTGGCAACAGTAGTGTGGTTGGCCCAAGATCGGGCAGTGTTTCATTCTGCTGTGCATAAGGTCGCTATGAGTCAGTACCAACTCAATGGCACCTAACAACAACAGCAACATGTACAAGGAAGTATGCTAAGTATGAACACAGAGCAACAAAACCAAGGTCCTTCTCAACATTTGACCATTTGTCATCCATCTTGAGTTTGGTACCACTCTTTCCTGGTTGGCTCACACTGACAGTGAAGAAATTGTCAGCTTAGTGATGAAATGATGATATACAGCAAAACAAAACAGCAGATGCAAACAAATTATCCATAAACAAATAACATTTTCTAGGCCCTGCTCTCTTTACATTGTTAAAAGAAGAGCGCTCAGTGTTTCTTAGTAAAACTGTGAGGCAATCAAATTTAAAAGCATGCCAGGTTCTACACGAGCAGGCCAATATAGGCAAAGATGATCCTAAATTTTCCATGTCATGGCAAATTGCCTAGCATCTTGCAGGAGACCTTACTTCATGCCCCGGTCACAGCAGATGGATTTGGTAACTCAGTATGCCCAGAAAGAATTGTGTGTGCAGAACCTGTGGTAAGCACCTCCTTCCTGATTTATACAGTGAGGGCATCCATGTGTTCAGCCAAGCTTCAAGGGCTTTGAGGCTTTGAGGGTGGTATCAACTGAATTGCATATCCCCAGCATATGTACTGAAACCTTAACCCATGTATCTGTAAATATGACTTTGTTTGGAAACAAGGTGTTATTTTGTTATGTTAATGAGGCCATGACATAGTAGGGTGGTTCCTAAACCTAATCACTCTGAGTTATAACATGGCAGTGGGGAAATGTCAGAGGAACATGGATACACATAGCAGATCCAGCGACAAGCCCAGGAGCTCCATGGATTGTTGGTTGCTGTTGTTGTAGTTAGGTGCCATCAAGTCAGTACCGACTCATAGCAACCCTATGTACAACAGAATGAAACACTGCCTGGTCCTGGAACAACCTCACAATTGTTGCCACGCTTGAGCCCATTGATGCTGCCATTTTGCCAATCCATCTCACTGGGGGTCATTCTCTTTTTCTCTGACCCTCCATCTCACCAAACATGATATCCTTCTTTCTCTAGTGACAGGTCCCTCCTGACAATATGTCTGAAGTATGAGAGATGAAGTTTGGCCATCCTGGCCTCCAAGGAACACTCTGGCTGCATTTCTTTCAACACAGATCTGTTTTCTCTTTTGGCAGCCCATGGTACTTTCAATATTCTCCTCCAACACCGTAGCTCAAAGGCATCAGTCTATGGTCTTCCTTATGCACTGTCCAGCTTTCACATGTATATGAGGTTATTGAAAATACCATGGTTTGGGTCAGGCGCACCTTAGTCCTCAAGCTGACATCTTTGCTCTTTAACACTTAAAAAAGGTCTTGTGCAGCAGATTTGCCTAATGCAATATGTCATTTGATTTCTTGACTGCTGCTTCCATGAGTGTTGATCGTTGGTCCAAGAAGAATGAAGTCCTTGACAACTTCAATCTTTTCTCCATTGATAAGAATGTTGTTTATTTGTCCAGTGGTGAGGATTTTTGTTTTCTTTACATTGAGATGCAACCTATACTGAAGGCTGTGCTCTTGGGTCTTCATCAGTAAATATTTTAAGTCTTCTTCACTTTCAGCAAGCACAGTTGTATCATCTGCATATTGCAGGTTGTTAATGAGTCTTCCTCCAATCCTGATGCCACATTATTCTTCATATAACCCAGCTTCTTGGATTATTTGCTCAGCATACAGGTTAAATAAGTATGGTGAAAGAATACAACCCTATCACACACCTTTCTTAATTGTAAACCATTCAGTGTTCGCATGCTCTGTTCAAACAACTGCCTCTTGGTCCAAGTACAGATTCCTCATGAGCACAATTAAGTGTTCCAGAATACTCATACTTCACAATGTTGTCCATAGCTTGTCACGATCCACACAGTTGAAAGCCTTTGTGTAGTCAATAAAGCACAGGTAAACATATTTCTGGTATTCTCTGCTTTCAGCCAAGATCCATCAGACATCAGCAAAGCTATCCCTCTTACTACAGGTTAAAATAGACTAGAAAGGACCTCCTCCTAGAGCCATTCCCTGAATTTGGACTTCTAACCTCCAGAACTGTGAGAAAATAAGTAAGGAAGTGTCAGTGGAACTTTTGCCCTGGCAGCACTAGCTAAGTAAGAAGAGGGTGAACCAGCTGAGTTCACGAGAGGCCACAGAACATCACCTAAGAGCCAGGCTTCTGAAGTGAAACTGCCAATCAGCCACATGGCAAACTGATCAAGCTCTCTGACATCAGTGTCTTCATCTAGGAAGTGAGGCTTGTCGTGAGGAGTAATGATTAGTACGTATGAAAGAGGTAGCCGAGTACCTGGCACATGGTTGTCATTCAACACAAGGTAGTCTTCATTGTAATCAGAGAAGTGTGATTGAGTGAAAAGAACACAAGTACAGGGGCTGGTGAGGAACCAGATTCTAGTTTCCCTTCCACTGTTCGTTCACCATGAACCCTTATAACAATGTTTTTACTTCTCTGATCCCTTATTGCCTTTTCTGTCAAATGAGGACAAATAAGGGCTGGATCCCAGGATTTCCTGAAGGTCACTCCCATAGCCACATCTGAAAGCAAATAATTTCTATTCACGGACTTATCACTAGACAGTCCCAGCTAATTGTCTCAGTTGAGGAACAACAACAACAACTAGACACAAAAGAGCAACAAATTATAAGAAAGTCTTTTTTTTTTTTCTTCAAATAACTTAAGACATTGAGACAAACAAAAAATGTATTTTGTTTTTTTAAACATATAGCAACCAAACAGCTCACAGTAGACAACTGTTCTCCCAGCGATTGCAGAGGTCCACATTAATAATGATAACAAGGCAATTAACCCCTATCTCTTTTGACCTCTGTCTGACCAGACACATGAAATATTTGTGAAATAATACTGAAGGGGAAAAAAAAAAAAAAGAAAAATCTTAGTTTGGTGGTGCTAATGGGATCCAAGTTATAGATTTCTGCAGAAGCAACTTGACCTTGTTCAGTCTCAAAGTCACAGACTCCAGTCCTTACTTCACTCTGCCGCTGGTATTCAAAATAAGAGACTGCGCATGGGAGAGGGGCCGAATCATTACACTGGAGAGGGGCTGAGTCATTACACAGGGGAGGGGCCAAGTCATTACACAGGGGAGGGGCCGAATCTATCTCCAGGCTAAGAACTGCCAACACATGCCCTGCTGACAAAGGTCAGTAATTTATTTCAGAAGAAGACCTTGGCTATTCTTCCTTTCAAGGAATGATTTTGAGGGCTGTGTTAAGGTGCCTGGCATCTCCTTGCTCCCAGAATTAGCTCTGTGTAGCTGAGACTATAGTCACAAATGTGGCAGTGGATAGTTGCTTTAATGTGGACTGGGGAGATGTCAGAGACCCACCTGATAGAGAGGCAAGATCCTTCAGAATTTTGACCCGAGTGTTCTTTGGCATGGAGTCTTGGTGTGGCGCTGTGGACAAATATACCAGACTGCAAAGTCGTTTGCACTGCAAGGTCGGTGGTTCAAGCTCACCAGCTTCTCCTTGGAAACCCTATACAGGGTCACTATGGGTTGGAATCGACTTGACGGCACTTACCAATAACAACAACATTCTTTGGTACACCATTGTTGGTGGTCCTGGCAAGGAGACACCTCCTGAGCCTTCTGAGTGGTGTTCTGGTTCCTTGCCCAACAGAGGTCAAAACTCTCATCTACACTGGCCTCTACTTTCCTCTTTCTGTGAGCTAAGGCTAAGAATGCCTACCCTTCCCATAGGGTCAGGGTAAGAACCCCAAATGAGGTGCAAGCCCAACGAGCAACAGGAGTAGTGCTCATCATAATGGTGGCAGGCTCTCACTTGAATTAAAAGCTCCAAGTTCCCACTGATTCTAGAACGCTACGTCTTTCATTCCAGGTACCCCAAACTTGCTGCAAAACACCGAGAATCCAACACAGCTGGCATTGACATCTTCTCGAAGTTCTCTGCCTACATCAAAAACACCAAGCAGCAAGACAATGCCGGTGAGTGACACCCTGCCTCCGCTCCCTGTCCTTGGCCTGTGAGCATTTGATCTGGAACTAATGAGACTTGACTGTTCACCCAGCTCACTTTCCCCCTTTAATCCGGGAGGAGTGTATAATACCTGTCTTGCCCGCTAGCTAGCTGGCTACGGCTGGAGGAAGGGCCAGCTGAGCCTTTTAGCTGCATTGGAGGTAGGGATGCCATTTGAATTCTGAGTGTTCCTTGCTGCATAAGCTGACATATGTCAGGAAACAATCTTTCCTCAGTCCAACTACTGTCTGTTTGTCCCAAATTCACCATGCTGCATGTATCTACAGAAGTCCTGCTTGGAACAGCACACTTGAGTTTCCCCACAGTGGAAAATCTGGAGGCAAAACCCTTTGCTTTGGGTTCTACTGCAAGTACAGAGGGTGCTTGCTGGGGAAAAGACTTCTTAAAGCATTCCTTAATCGCCATTGGCTACAGAATTCAGAGCTTGATTCTCTTGTGGTGGTCTCTCATTGGGGTTTGGGGCTCTTGTTTTAGCTCACAGTACATTTATTCCCCCATTTGGCATTGTTCTTTAAGAAGTAGCTAAGGCAATTTGAATGAATCCATCAAACTGAACATGTATAATGTTTGAAGAACTATACTAGACCCTGTAAGGAGGAGGAAGACGAGTGAAGGTTTCCTGCTGTCAGAGTGAGAGACTGTGGCACCCTTACAAACTGGGATCCCTAGAACCCAGCACAGTGCCAAGCAGAGTGAACACTGCGTGAGTACTTGTGCATGAACAAGTGAATGAATGAATGAAATGATGAACAAGGCGGTACATACTAGATGCTCCAAAAGCTCAGAGGAGAAGTGTGTCTCTTTGGACCAAGGTAACCAGGCAAGGCAGCCAGGCTTGGGGTGAGAGAGAAGAAGTTTTTGTAGGAACAGAGTTGGCTCTGTGAAAAGTAGATAACTCACTAACAGTTATAGGTAAATAGCTCACTAACAGGTCCCGGATTGTATCAGACACTGAATTAGATTCTGGGGATTCAAAGATACTTTCCCAATATTTAAAGCTTTGAGAATTCAGGAGGAATGGCTTAAATTCACAAAATGTCTAATAATAGCACAATGATTAATGATGACTTAATAGAAGCAAACAAAAAATACAGTTGCCAAAGAATTGATTCTGGTTTATGATGACAGAGTAGAACTGGGCTTAGTAGAGTTTTCAGTGGTTGATTGTTCAGGTCTCTTTTCTGAGGCATCTTTGGGTGGACAAAAATCTTCAACCTCTTTGGTTAGCAGCTGGGAGCATTAACTGTACCACCCAGGGACTCTGGCTTTAATAAAAAAAAAAAATAATAATTTTTAAAAAAGCCCATTGCCATTTAGTTGATTTGAATTATAGCAACCCTATAGGATGAACTAGAGCTGCTCCTTAGGATTTCAGGAATTGTAAAACGTTATGGGTACAGAAAGCCTCATCTTTTTTCCCTGGAGCTGCTGGTGGATTTGAACCATCCATCTTATGATTATCAGCCTGGTGCTTAACCCATTGCATCATCACGACTCTTCTAGCTTACAGGAAGAGAGTCTGAATTGTTAACTAATTTCCAAGTCAAAGTCGGTGTTTCCATGAAAGAATTCACCTTAGGGTCCTTTGAGAAGGCTTGAAGAGATTTTGACTAAGTCATAAAATTGTCTGACTGATAAAACATACCTGGGGAGGATTTAGAGAAGGAGAAGCAAAACCAAGAGCTGTGTGCCGTGGGGTTGGTTCTGACTCATAGCGACCCTGTACAGGGTTTCTGAGGTTGTACATCTTTACGGGAGCAGAACGCCTCATCTTTCTCTCATAGAACAGCTGGTAGTTTCGAACTGCTGACCTTGCGGTTCGCAGCCCGATTCGTAACCAGGGACCTGGGAAAGCAGCTACAGCCTACGGGCAGCCATGAGAGATACACAGGTAGGTACTGGTGTGGCGCTATGGGATAAAGCACTGATCAGCAAGGTCAGTTTGAACCACAAGGTCGGAAATTCAAACTCACCAGCTGCTCCTAGGATACCATGTAGTGGGTCGCTATGAGTTGAAATCAATTCGACAGCACTTTACAACAAGAAGAAGCTACAACATGAGTGGTCTTTTAGGAGCCACAAGAAGCAAAAAGCATGTTATTTTAACTCTAATCATATGGAATAGAAAGATAGGGAATTTTTCCAAACTTTTAATTTTTTTTTTTTTTTTGACCTCTTATTGTGAATTGAGTGAAGGTTTACAGAACAGATAGATCATCAATCCTACAGTCTACAAATTAATTATACACTTCGCTCCACAAACTTTTTGAGCCCCCTTGTACACAACACTCTCGCTTCATTACTGTTTGGACTCTGCTCTAAATTAAGTAGTTCTCAGAATTCATGTCCACTTGGAACCTGTGATTGTGGTATTACTTGGAACTAGGTACTTTGCAGATGCAATCCATTAAGAATCTCAGATGAAACCATCCTAGATTTAGTGTGGTCCATTAACCCATGACATCTTGATAAGAAAAAGAGAGGACACAGAGATACACAGAAGATGGCCATTTGGAGACAGAGGCAGAGATTGGAGTGAGGCTGCCACAAAAGCCTGGAAGCTGGAAGACACAAAGAAGGATTCTCTCCAAGAGACTACAGAAGGAATGTGACCCTGATGCTGCCTTTTTTTTTTTTTTTTTTTTAAATTCTGGCGTCCTGTCCCATAGGGCTTCCAAGCCTGTAATCTTTACAGAAGTAGTCTTCCACATTTCTCTCCCATGAGCCACTGGTGGGTACATACTGCTGGCCTTTCGGCTAGCAGCCGAGTGCTTAACCATGGCACCTCCAGTGGTTCACTGTGGCTTCATTTGTGGGAAAGGCCAGTTGTCACTACTTTCATCGCAGCAGACATTGTGACACATGAGGGAGTTGGTGGTGGTGGCTTGCCCCAGTCTCGAGTGGCAGAGCTGTGAACTGGGCTTGAACCTGGGTTTCCTGACTCCACACCCAGCATCCACTCCTCTTGGCCACAAGTTTATTTCTTCATACTTTTCAAAGAGCCCTCAGAAAGATTAACTCACTAGGACCTTCCAGACTTTTTCACATTATGAACGGTATTTACATATTATCCATATTTACAGTTCTCTGTCCCCAAAGCCAGAGTCCTGATGTGGCACTGTGGGTTAATGCGCCAGACTGCAAGGTCAGCAGTTCAAGCTCACCAGCCGCTCTTTGAAAACCCTATACAGGGTCGCTATGGGTCAGAACTGACTCGAAGGCACAAAAACAACATCCCCAAAGTGAGAGCAGCAGTTTCCACCAAACACCACAATTTCTTATAAACTCAAGCCTCTTCAGTTTTCATTGTTTCCCTTCTTTCATTTTACCCTGCTTCCCCAGCCCTTGGGTTTTGTCCTTGTAACTCCCCCAAACTCATTTGCACTTTTCAAAGCTCCTGTCTTCCTGCCTGCCAAGGTGGACTTTCCCCACCGGATCTCAACCCTGTGTGCTTTTTTCATCTTTCTCATTTTAACAAGACACCACACCTGTCTTCATTGTAACTTTAACCTGCCATTCCTCTTCTTTACTCCTCGTCCCCAATTCCTCAATCCTTATACCTCTGGTATGGTGCTGTGGGTTTAATGCATCAGATTGCAAAGCCATTTGAACTGCAGGGTTGGTGGTTCAAGCTCACCAGCTGCTCCTTGAAAACCCTATACAGGGTCACTATGGGTTGGAACTGATTCCACAGCACTTTACAACAACAACAACAACATACCTCTGGTGGCAGTGGTTATGTGCCATGGAGTTTGTTCTGACTCATAGTGACCTTGTACAGGGTTTCCAAGGCTGTAAATCTTTATAGGAGCAGAAAGCCTCATCTTTCTCCCGCAGAACAGCTGGTAGTTTCAAACTGCTGTCCCTGAGGTTAGCAGCCTGATTCATAACCACTACGCTAGCCCTGGAAACCCAATGGAGCAGTCCTGTAAGGTCGCTATGAGTTGGAATTGACTCAATGGCATGGAGCAGTAGGATGTTTATGTTAAGCAGAGCCTTCCTTTCCCATCATCTTGTCAACTGATGACTTCTAGCCCTCACTCACACACTGGCTCTAGTCCTTTCTTCCCTCCTCAGCATCAACTTCAATCTTTTCTCCATTTACCATGATGCTACTTATCTTTGTAGTTGTGAGGATTTTTGTTTTCTTTGCCTTGAAGTATAATACATACAGAAGGCTGGAGTCTTTGAGCTTCATCGGTAAGTATTTTACGTCCTCTTCCATTCCAGCAAGCAAGGTTGCATCGTCTGCATATCACAGGTTGTTAATGAGTCTTCCTCCTATCCTTATTCGTATAATTCAGCTTCTTGGATTATTTGCTCAGCATACAAATTGAAGGTGCACTCCTTTCCTGGTTTTAAACTGTTCATTTTGCTTAGATCCACAATCAGCACTCATGGGAGCAGCAGTCAAGAAATTAAAGGAAAAATGCATTTTTTGGTGGCAAATTTGCTACAAAATTACTATAAATTTGCTACAAAAGTAGTGTATTTTGTAGCAAATTTGCTACAAAAGACTTCCTTAAAGTGTTAAATAGTAAAGATGTCAGTTTGAGGACTAAGGTGCTCCTGATTGTACCCCTGGTTTTTTCAGTCACTTCATATGCATATGAATGTTGGACAATGAATAAGAAGACCGTAGAAGAGCCAATGCATTTGAATTATGGTGTTGGAGAAGACTATTAAAAGTATCATGGACTGCCAGAGTGCTCCTTAGAAGAAGGATGATGAGACTTCATCTCTCATACTTCAGATAGGTTATCAGGGGGGACGAATCCCTGGAGAATGACATCTTGCTTTGTAAAGTGGAGGGTCAGTGAAAAAGAGGAGGGACTGCACCTGCACCCCCCGCCCACAAGGAGATGGATTGGGCTCAAACATAACTATTGTGAGGATGCAGGACCAGGTAGTGTTTATTTCTGTTGTGAACAGCGTCATTATGAGTCAG